TTGCGTGATCATCTCTTCTGCTGAGCCACTAAGAAAATGATGTTGATGATGATGATGATGATAGCAGCTGAAACATATCAGCTATTTGCTCTGTGCTGGACACTACTATATCGGTTCTTTTAAACCCCAAAATAATCCTACATCCATTCTCCAACCACCAGCCAGAGTGACTTTTCTGAACACCAAATCTGATCATATCATTTCCCCAGCCCACAGCTTGTAAAGTCTTTAATAATCTGGCTCCTGTTACCACTCCTGCCCCATTTCTCACCGCAGCCTCTTCCTATGACCCTCCTGTTTTTAGCTTCTCCATTAAGAATTCTAGGTCTTTGCATGTGCTGTTTCCACAGCCTGAAACACTCTTCCACCACCTCTTGGCCTAATACCGATGGCTCTTTCAGGTTTCAGGTGAATATTACCTTTTCTGGGAGCCTGGGAGGCTGTATAGCATAGTGATGTAAGACCAACACTGAAACTAATCCACCAGGTTCAACTTCCGGCTCTTCCACTTACTAGCCAGCTAACCTTGGGCAAGCTATTTACTCTCTGTGTCTTCGATTTCTTATCTGTCATGAGGATTAAAGAAATCAGTACCATATATACAATGGAATATTACTCAGCCATAAAAACAGATGAAATACTGTTCTGCGACAACATGGAAGGACCTCGAGATAATCATGCAAAAAGAAATAAGCCAGACAAAAAATTGAAAATCATGTGACATCACTTATATATGGGATATAAACCTAAAAGCAATAAATGACCAGGACAAACAAACAGAGACTCATGGACATGGACAATAGACTAGTGGTTACCAGAGGGGAGCGGGGAGGGGGCAGGGAGACAAGGTAAACGGGGTCAAATATGTGATGACAGAAAGAAATCTAACTATGGGAGGTGAAAACGCAGTGTAAATATATATATGCCTTACTGTTAAAGTGTACAGCTAAAACTTATTGGGTTTCATTAACCAATGCCACCATAAAAACTAAATAAAAAATAAAAAATAAATCAGTGCCTGTAAGGCACCTAGCAGTGCTACACGTGTCACTTCCATTCTTCCAGGTCAAGTTAAAAGTCTTTGCTAAGTATTTTCCAAAATTCCTTTATAATAATACCATATAATGCCAACCTCACTCCTGAGAATGTTCATCCATCCGCCCACCTCGCCAGACTGTCCGCTCGGTGAGGACAGGGGCATCTTGATCTTGGTCCCAGCCTATTTCTGATGCCTAGAGCACGGTAGGTGCTCATATTTGATATATCATGACTAGAAATCCAACACCTACTAGATAACCTGGTGATATATGCTTTCCAGCAAACAGCCACCTCAAACAAGGAAGGAAAAAGATAAGATTTTTATAAAAGGGCATACACGGCAGACTCGTGGAGGCTGAAAACAGTCAAAGGTGACCTGGTAATTAGGAAAATACCTTTATTATTTTTCAAATGTTCCAATACTCAATGTAAGAACCATGATAGCGGCTTTTTCACAACTTCACAAATTACAGAAAAATGACTTTCCTCCTTCTTTACAGAAATCTCTCCTCCCTGCATCCCCAATTCAAATAGGGGCTCCCTTATGGCTGAAATGGGGCAGGAAGGAAGCACGAAGAATATAGCAAGTAGAACTGCAGCTCTCTGGGCAGCCAGAGGCTTTTCCAGGCTGAGTCCCATAGACCTGCGACCCCTCTGAGGGAGGCTTAGTCTATGCACATCTGTGGCACACCGAGGCAAGCCTCTGTCTCGAAGGCCAGAAGTGACAGAACACATACAGTGTGGCACTTGTGGCTGGCAGGCCACAATCAAGGCAGCTTCGTGAGAACGAGATCAGGAGGCAGGCCTGTAGCTATAATTAGCAGCTGGTAATTTTTAGAAAAAGACAACTCAAATTGCTCATTGTTAAGTTTGTATTTTCTAATCACATCTCTGACTCCTTCCTTTCTCATTCATGGTCGGGCACGGGGGTTACAGCTGTAGCAGAAGGTTGTTTGTTGATTTGAGAAAACTGAAAATGTTTTATACTCACAGACAAAGGCCGATGGAATTCAAAAACGATCCCACCGATTTTTATGAGAAACATGACTGTTCCTCTTGAGTGTCTCAAGTCAAAACAAGGCAACCGCCTAGTGATTTATCGTCCCCACTACACATTTTCCGCCTTCCAGAAGGCATCAGAGAAAGGGCCAGCGTTTGCCAGGAGCGATTGTAAACACACCACTGACAGCTTGGACACTTTGTTTTTAAATGCAGTAGGACTTTTTCCTTTGGCCCCGACAGAAAAGCCAACTCCCTAGGACTGTTTAGGAAGGAGCAGACAGGAGGGCTCCCCAAAACCTGTGAGTGAGGGACCAGTGGTCCCTGTTGGCCAGAGCATGGCTAGGAGCATCATCAAAGGCAAGCGATACATTTATGGCATATGAAAATTGTCCTGTGGTCCCCGACTGGCCCCCAGGCTCTACCTGGCTAGACATGGAGCACGGGAGGTACAGAACAAGTTGTCATAAGGCACATGGTTGAGGCGGCCCCCACACCAGGCCCAGAAAGATTATCTCTTCACACGATTCCAAAAGTGCTGGAAAGCTGAGGAGTTGATGACACTCACTATGAGCAGCAGCAGCAGATACAGGGATATCATGACCGTAAACCAATGGCTGGAAAACCAGGACAGCTGGCTGGAAGCCCTGCTTAAGGGGGAAAAAAGAATGATGTTGGCAAAAAGAGAAAAACATTTTTTTGAAGTGTATGCAACAACTTCTGGCTCAAAGAAAATGCAATGATGAATTTCATCCTCTGAGTAAGCCATGAAATGAAGCTTCGTGCGTTCTCCTTTGCTCAAGAAATCTGAGGCTGTTTGCCCTGGCACCGACATGCCTTTCACCAGAACATGTTCTAAATGTACAAAGACAGCTATGCAATGAGCTCATCCTGATTTTCCCTTTTATAGCTGCTCCTCTTGAACCTTCCATACTCAGTCTTTTCTTAAGCAGGACTTTGGTATCTAGAAGAATGACTTCGCTCCAGGTGTCTGCCCAGATGGCAGCAGGAAGCAGGTTATTTAGCAAAAGTCTTTTCACTTTCAGACACATATGGATATCAATCTGTGCTGGGGAAATCCTCTTTGGCCCGCTGGGAAATGATCTAAACGGTCCAAGTGTGCACTAAAGAGACACTCCAGGAAGAAGTGGGAAGGAATGGAATTTTCAAGTACAAAAAGCCAGATGATTTTAAATCAAAGGATAATGTCCCCTAGAACCCTATACAAATACTCCAAACTTGAGGGGAGGGTAATTTTACTGGCTTGAATTCTAAAGCATAGAAACCATTGGTGTATACAAGCAGGAGTGAGAAGTATTAAAAGTAACCCCCTTTCCTGTCTTATCTGCTCACCTGCTACTCACCCCCATGAGAAGTTCTATCACAGACGCCAACAATGCAACAAAGTCTGAAAGTGACCACCGATCCTGGAGAACCCTGCACAGACACGCCGCCACCACACTGCTGAGATGGGATGAGGCATCCACCATGGCTCTTAGGACCCAGAAGGCCCCTTTTGCTGTTGGGTTCAACACCCTCACTTTAGAGGTGAAGATGAAGTATCTCAGGTAGAGAGAGGAGCCGTTGGTAGTTCAACAGCTACCGTGGAAAGTGACCATACTGGGCTGCACACAATCCCAGCCAGAGTCCAGTCACCACTCTGCCTCTCAGCTTAACCTAATCACTGTGTTTCAGACTGAAATCAGAAGCTGAGGTGGCTGAAGGGCCTCATGTCTGGGGCAGCCAGTTTGGCTTTATTCAGTCCCTCATGTTATTTGTGTTTACAAATCTCTATCTTCTTCACTAGACTGTATAAACCTCTGAGGGCCAGGATCACATCTTATTCACCCTTATCCTTACTCCTCACTGCAACTAGCACAGTGTTTAATATACTTTATACATAGGTGAGGACTAAGGCTGGAGGAAAGGCAGTACTGATAACTAAGAATCCAACACTTTGAATGCAGCCTTTAGTTGTCCTTCTTACCTCTTGGCCTGCTTCTGTGAGTACACCAACAGGTACTTCACGCGCAGGAGCTGGTTATTGGTGACCACAAAATACTTTGGAGGGATGTCGCCCCCTTCACTGTGTTTGATTCTCGCTCTCCTGCGATCTATCTCCTTGGAATCTGAAGAAAGAGAGTAAAGTACGACTTTACTGGGTGGGGGATGGGGATATAATAATAAAAGAAACAAATTATGAATATAAACAGGTCAAGCCTCCTGGTCCTGGGAGTGGAGAAGTCCCAGCAGGCTGAAGAATGGGCCTACGTGTGTATGAGAAGCACACTGAAAAACAGGAGAATCGACAAACAGGAGGAAGAAAAAAAAGATAGGAAAATAAAAGATACAAGGAAGAAAAAAAACTTGACTGAGTGGTGAAAGCAGAAGGAAGAAGCAGATTGATGTCCACACCAAAGAAATAATCTGGGATGAGGAACAGGACTTGATCTGAGACAAGTCTCTTAGCAGGCGTTTTAAATTAACTATTCTGGATTCGAGCTTCTTAGAACACATCTTCAACCCTTTGTACCAAGGCTTGTTTAAAAAAAACAAACAAAAAGAAAAGTTTTCTTTTAATAACATGAAAAGGCTTTAGCAATTAAAAAAAAAAAAAGCCAAAGCTTTTTGTGTGACAGCAGATATTGCAAGGTTTTGTTTTGAAATCTAACGTCATGGTTTACAAACGTCCTAAGAATTATAAATGCAAATATTCATGCTGTCTGGTTTGGGAAGGTGGTGTCAGACCTGGGCCCGGTCCTCAAGATTCCAGTTGTTTTACATTAGAGGCCAGGAACAGACAGTTTTCTCAATTTTCCTTTTCTCAGTGGAACCAAACAGGCCAATTCTGGAGACTAGAATGACAATTCTGTGACTCTTTTGCCTTTGTGGGCAAAATAGCAGGATATACAGGAAAAAAAAAATCTGAGAGACATATCAGGGAAGTGGACTGAGGCAGCCAGCTAGTCATCTGCTCCCTAGAGAGCCTGGGATTTACTGCCGATGGCCTCAGTCACCACTCACATCCTCCAGGGGCTGAGCACACACCAGAATACTCTGGAGGGACAGTTCTGAACACATGTCTTTAGCTTCAGTTTGGCAAATATTTACTGAATGTCAAGTACACACCAGGCTCCCCGATACCAGGTGCTCAAAAGTGAATGAAATCCAGTTCCTGTTTTCAAGGAGCCCACATTCTGGCCTCACACACTTGCTTTCATTTATCAAATCTCACCTCTTCCCCAAAGCTCTCCCTAAGCACTTGGACCCACCATGATTGCTCCTTCCTCTGAGCTGCCCTGTGGACCCCATCAGCCCCCTCACCTGGCACTCTACACACCACCTTGCAGTAAATTATATCTTTTCCAATGTGTGTTCAATAGCTGAGACTGCTCACTCCATGAGGGCAGGGCCCCTGTCCTATACTGCACTGGACCCAAGCCACCCCTTAGTGTACAAGAGATACCCCACCTAACGGCAAGAGCCTGCACACCCGGAAGCCTGCAGCCCAGGTCTGAGTCAAATGCTCACTCACCCTTCTTCTTGGTTTGGCACTTGACATCTGGATGGTCAATGACTTCACACACAGCCACGCAGCTGAGGATGGGGCCGAGGAGGCTGTGCTGCCACCCATGGCCGTGAGGGCTATAAATGAGGGCCAGGCTCAAGTCGCTGGTGAGGTAGGTCCCTTCCCCAAACAAGGATGTCTAGAATGGCAGAGCCAACAGAAGAAAAACAGGGCTGAGTGAATGAAGAATAGCACAGCAAGGCAACGTGGGTCTTCCAACAGAATTGTAAACACAAAATTTTCAAACCTTTTTTTTTTCCCCAGCAAAAGACATAAGATTAAAAAATCCTATGATGTCATCATAGTGTTATTACCAAATATATTCCTATCTGACGACAATTTAACTGATTGTGGATGTAGCTGACAGCCGGGCAAACCAGTAGTTTCTGTGGTCAAGGTTGAGTGATAAAAACATAGGTATAAGAGTCCAAAAAAAACCTGAATTTGAATCCTGCCTATATCTCCAACAAGCTGGCAAGTCATATAAACTCTCTGGGTCTCAGTTTCTAAATTTACAAAATGGTGATAATAGTATCTCCTTTATAAGGTGATAGATGAGGATTCAATGAGGTAAAGTATATAGAGCATCGAGCAGGACAGGTGGCACATGAAAGGGGTGGGCACTCCATCACAGGCTCTTATATCATAGTATATATAGTAATTCCTGCTACATGACTGGGGGAAATGCTGCAGCACTCCCTACCCCAGAGTGTGATGGGCTTGCAGAAGCAAAGTCACACCCTTATGTACTGGGAAGGGGATCACACCTGAAGGGGGAGGTAATCTGAGTCATTACTTAGAAAAGAAATGCATCTCTCAGACCAGAAACTGTAACAGGCCTATTTGAGTTTTACTCTTTTGTGTTGGTGTTGACCAAGAAAAATGTCCAAAAATCTAGGAGGCAGCTCAGCTCCCTGGTGGTCGGTGCTAACTTGGTGCCCTCCGTGAGGAAGTTTGCCAGGTAAGAAAAAGATCTCAGAGAAATATCTCAAGCTGAGGCTACAGCGGGCACAGCAAACACATCCTTTGTCCAAAGTAGACGTCAATAATAGACTATAAGGGCCAACATAAAAATATCGATCACAGCACTCATTTACACTAACTCATAATCCTTCTCAACACAACATTCCAGGTAGCTGCTACCAATGGATGGAATTTGACATTCAAGTTGAAATTCAATTGCTATTCTTGGGCCACAGCATAAGTATCTTAAGATGATGAGTAGACTCAAACAGCTCACTGAATAGCCTATGCTTGGGAACTGAGAAATGTCCTATTTGATGGCACTAGACTTCTACAATTCTAAGCCAGTTAAGTGAAGCTTAGGGGACATGAAACAAGTTTTGCTTGGCCTCTGGGAAGCCCCTTGCTGGGTTAAGCAGAGTTCCCATGTCTCAAAAGCTGACAGAGATCATCTCCAAGGATACTGGATATCCTCTGATCTGACCCCACATCCATTCTCCATATGCCTGCTATGTATACACCCTTCCCTAGACTTGAGAAAATTGAGCAAGGCTGCAGTGAACAGGGGTACACAAGACTAGGAAACTTGCGGTATCTCTACCATGAGAACAATCTCTTACCTTTGACTGGCTAGCTACTCACTGAAAACCCAGACAGAGGCCAAAAGAGCAGCCACTTTACCAAAGGACTCTGATGAGATACCACTAAACAGCAAATGCCCAGGGGCACTGAAGTGAAGATTTGGTGTACAAGCGTAATCTGCAAGCAACTTCTTCAGGCCAGCTCTGGTATGCAGCGGAGGCCTCGGATTCCAGTAGCCTGGAATAATCAGCTGAGAGCCAGTGTAAACAAGCCCGTCATCCTCGACAAAACCCAATTGCGATAATCAGCTGCAGAAGTACTGGGAAGTCCCTCCAGCCTCTGTATAAGCCACAATTCAGCAGCTGCTCAGGGAGCCAGCCCATCAGACAAGGCAGATGCTGCCACGACTGGGGGAAAGGCTGCAGCATTCCCTACCCCAAATTCCCTTCCCATCAACCTAAAAAAGCAGTGTCCTTGGTGCTTAGTACAGAATCTTTTCCATACATGAAGTTTTAATCCTCTTAGCGCACCAGAAGGTAGGTGATGATGTCCTATTTTACAGATGAGGATATTGAGGCTCAGAGAGTTTAAGTCAATATGCTCAGGGCCAGAGCTGCTAAGGTGGTCTTTTTGGCTCCTGTTTGTACTCTTCCTCTTACGCTTCACTAAAAGGCAAAAAAGCATCAGCAGAAAAGGGGTGGTTGTCACTGTTTGACTCTTAAAAAAGGGAAGGAGCTAATTAAGGAGGGAGGGAAAGGACCTCTCCTTGGCACGTCCCTCAAATTCTCCAAGGGCTGACTGCTGGAGTGATCCCCGGAGACATGCTTCTCAAACTTCAACATGCATGTGAAGCACAGTGGAGAGCTTGTTATAGTGTGGCTTCTCATCAGGTGGCCTGGGGTGGGCCCTGAGATTCCACTTATCCAACAAGCTCCCAGGTGACATGAATGCCACTGGTCCAGAGACCATGCTGAGCAGTAAGAGTTGGCCACACACTGGGATCACCTGGTGAGCTTTTAAAGCTTGCTGCTGTCTGGGCCCCACTCTCAGAGATTCTGACTTAACTAGTCTGGGATGCAGCCAGGCATTGGAATTTTTAAAAGCTACCCAAGTGATTCTAAATGTGCACCCAAGGCTGAGAACCATCTTTAAATCAATGCTTTTCAAACTGTAATTGGTATAGGAATCACCTGGAGATCTTGTTAAAATGCAGATTCTGATTCAGAAAGTCCAGGGCAGGCCCAGGATTCCGCATTTTCACAGGCTCTCGGGTGATACTGCTGGTTTACAGGCCACACTTTGTGCAGCAAGGCCCCTCCTCATCCCCCACCAGCTCTGACCCCATTCCCAAAATGTCAGCAGGCTTAGGCCCCACCTTGTTCAGGTGGCAGTGCAGGCCATTGTGGATGATGGAATGGAAGTTTTCTAGGCGGCTCCCATGGAAGGCGTAGATTAGGTCTCGTTCTCCTTTGGTCTCATAAAATTTGGCATTTGCAGGATCGGAATATTCTATTTCAAACAGGAAGTCCGGCACAGGGACAGGAGTGTGAGAGGCACCAGTCAGCTTTTGGATCTTTTCAAACTTAAAAACATGAAGGGAGTTGCAATTTTATTTAGGAAATTGGTAAATGTGCTGCCAAAATGGCCTCCTAAAGCCTTGGGCTTAAGTCCTATGGACTCTGCTCATGAGAACAACTGGTTTCATGAGAATAATGACATCAATTTATAAATAAGCTCAGAGGTTATAGCTCAAGACTGTTTTCCTCTAAATGTTTATCCCTACAATAGACTGAGAAGCATTGCTCCTTCGAACTGGACCACTTCTAATTTTCATAACACTTTCACATCTATCTCCTATATTCCATCTTCACAATAATCTCAGGCGATGTGATAAATGGCAAAAAATGGCCACACATTTTCTTCTCACCCCTCTACAATGTGGAATTTGAAGGTAAAATTCCACCAAGATTCCTTGTGGGAATCTTGGGACTTGAATCTGGCTTGGCCGATGGGACCTTGGTAAACATATGGCCAACAGAGACTTGAAAAAAGGTTGCCCTTCCTTGTCTGCTGCTAGGAACCCTTCACCCTTCACTCTTCACTGTCATGTGAGTAAGCCCTGCTAGCCTTCAGGAGGATGAAAGCCTCATAAAGGCAGGCCCCAATCATAGTGGCCATCCCAGCTGAAGACCCAGATATGGAAATGAGGCTACCTTAGATCATCCAGCACCAGGCAAGCCGTCTCCACCTGGAATAACCACCCAACCAACCCACAGAATCATGAGAAGCAATCAGTGTTGTTTTAAGCCACTAGGTTTTGGGATGGTTTGTTACATAGCAGAAGCTAATTAATACAGAAGGGTAAGTTCCTTCATAAGGGGTAATAATCCTCTTCATTTCATAAACAGTAAGTCATAGTCCAAACCCAGTCTGTGGCAAAGTTTTCTCTGGGTTGTGATTAAATGAGAAAAATAATGGAAATGTAACAGATATATTTATATTGCTGCAAGGTTGACATGATCTTTTCTTTAGAAAAACTGTCCTTTATTCTGAGGTCAGGATCATCCTCCTTTTTTTTTTGTCAAAACATCTTTCTATAAAATGATGATACATTTTATAAATGGTAGGCTAATGTCCTTGTTTGGGCACAATAAAAAATTGATAATCCTGGGTGTCAACATTTCATATTTTAATGGAAGTTAATTGGTCCATAATCAAAAGTAAAGGAGCCAGTGCCTTATCTACTCTACCTACAGTACCCAATACTGGTAGGCACTTGATGCCCATATAAAGAATGAACAAACCTCAATTTAACAGATGACAAAAGTGAAACCCAGAGATCATCTAGGAGTTAGCAGACCAGCCTCGACCTGAATATGGATCTCCTGACTTCCACTCCAGAGCTTTCTATAATATTTTATCATCCAACATGATAGATGTCCCTAGACACCAGAATCCAAGATACTAAATTCTGTGCCACTTAAGGAGGATTTTTGTCTTTATCAGGAGCTTATAAAATTGAATGCTCTTGAATGCAAATTGATTAATTAAGAACAGTATGGATAAACCCCTGCTGCCGCTCAAAGGAAAGAACACCAGCTTGGGGATCTGCTATCCCCCACTCTGGTCCTTGTGACCCCAGCCTGTCCCTGAGAGATCCAGCCTGGCAAGGGACACCAAATTATGGAATGTCTGGTCTATGCCAAAACTTGGACTGGAAGTGACCCATTCTATCACAGGTCTCCTCTGAGTAACTATTAATATTCTCAATTTACAAATGGGGAAAAGGAGACTCAACTATGGATGGAAGTGGGATTTGAACCCAGAGCTTGAAATGTTCCATTACTTTGGGCTCTGCCTCTGTTTCCTAACAACTGGGTTAGGCCAATGGTTCTTGAGGTATCCTTATCAGGATTACTACCTGGGTGTTTGTGATACCCAAAATTTACTGAGCCCTTGGCATGTGCCCTTAGGCATTGTTCCAAGTGTGAAAATTCATTCAACTCTCACAGCCATCTCCCTGATGGAAGCATACTATTTGCATCCTCATTTTTATAAATGAGGAAACTGAGGTACTGAAATGCACCAAGAAACCTGCTCAAGGTCACACAGCTAGCAGGAGGGAGAACAGAATTCAGCACTGCGACTTTACAAGTTCCTGGGCCAAACTCCAGACGCAGAACCAGAATCTCTGGGGGCAAGGTGCAGAAATCTGCATTTGCAACAAGCTGCCCAGGTCACTCTGGTACACAAGGAGGTCCCTGGGATCCTACAGAACCAAAGTCTCACCTCTGCCTTCCCTGCACTGTGGACCTTCAGCACCTTTGAGGATAAAATCCAGCTCACCAGGTCCCAAGCCCGTTTGTCTTTATCTCCGGAGGACAAGAGAAGTTCTTTCAGGTTAGGTAACTTGCTGGTATCTGCAAGCTGAAGTGAGGAAAACCTCCATTAGCAAAGATCCTGGATAAAATGAGAACCAGGGGCCCTCTAGTGGTAGGGCACATGATTTGCGCTTCTTTTCTGACTTTCCTAAAAGGAAGAACATGCACATGTCTACCATCCCCTTTCCAAATAATACCCAACTTCTAACCCTCCAAACAATAAAAAGTTGTTTTGTAACTAATTTGGTACAAAACCTGACTGGAGATAATGTGAGTTTCCTTTCATATTTATCCCATATCATGTTACTACTGATGCATTTTGCTGCAGGAATATTAATGTCTGATTATAGGATGCCACCTTGCTGGAGGTATTAACAAATACATGGTGTATACAAGGGCGGGTAAAGGGTTAACGAAGCGTAAGAAAATGATCTTCGGTTAACTTCCTGTCAGCCTGTTCCTCTGGAGGCTGGATAAAGTAGTATGGTAACTACATACATAACAGGGCAACCCTGTTTATGGTAAAAATGATCCAGAATGGTAAGTTGCATCTGGACTAGGAGAAACTGCAGGCAGGGAATCCATGGTTGGGGGTCTCCCTGAGTGTGGTGACTTTTTGTGAGGACCCTGGACCCTGGCAGCTATTTCTATGGTGTTTTTATGAGAGAGACCAGCCTCTGTAAAACATGGGGCTTCATGAGGCCAGAGCAGTTCCTGTACCCACCCGACGTGAATCTCCTGTCCTTACATGTGAGCTGTCCCTCTTGGGGGCTAAGACCAGCTTCTGGACCTCTTGTGGACTGCGGCAATGACTTCTGCAGAAATGGATTGCCCTGCGGCAAGCTGTGATCCATCCTAGGGCCTTCTGATTTAGGCTGATGCCCGTGTGGCCTGCGACTGGCATCTGAGTTGGTCAGCTCAGTTGTGTCATTGCACCACATTACCATCTTTGCAAAATCGGGCAGAATCTGAATTCTGAAACACATCTGGTGCCAGGATTTCTGTCTGATAAGGGACTAATAGGAGCTACAAGGTATCTATAGCTTTTGCTCAGAAATTATGACTAGAAGCTCAATCCCTCCAGCATGGCATTTAAAACACCACTGTACACCGGGGCTATCTGTGAATATGCCTTGGGTTGTACCACCTCCAAGCTTTGTTCACTCAGTCCCCTGGAATGCCTACTCCCTGACTTCTACCAATCCAGGCACCCCTTTTCTCCTCTACACCCCTAAAGCACTCAGCCCCAATACTTTCTCCCCAGGAAAGCCAGGACTCCCAGAGCACTGTCTTGTTTTTCTAATCCTCCTCTTTCCTGGATGCCAGGAAAAGAGCAGACAGATTTGGATTTAAATCCCTGCTCAAACACAGGACCTTGCTGAGCCTTGATCTCCGCTCTAATCCAGGAACCCTGCTATCTTCACTTTGGGTTGCTGGGAAGATTAAAGAAGGTAACAAAATCTCAGGGCCTGGTCTATACATGTCCATTTCTCTTCTTATTTATTTCTCCCTGAAAACACTCCCCACACGTTCCTTTACTAGGGATGTAGTTGGTACTCCATGAATATTAGTGGTTCTTTTCCATTTTTCTATAACCGCTGATGGCTGACCTTGGGGATTTTATTTAACTCCGCAGTTGAAAATAAGAAACATTTCAGGGCTGTTTTACTCCTGTCTCTATGTCCAAAGATTCAATCAATAGACTTCTACTAAAACTATCTCTACATGCCTTGTGGAGCATCAGTGAGGATCCAATTTAAAAAAAAAAAAACAAAAAACCATGGATGTGTGGGCATGTAAATGCTCCAAAGTATTGGTACTACACAGTGGGGAGGCAGAAAGGTAAAAAAATAATTATGACTTAAACCTATTCACTGTCATGATGACGTATACAAACTACTAAGGGGACCAAGAGGGACTTCTGTTGCATAGCGGCTAGGGGAAAAGGGGGTGGTCAGTAAAGACTTTGCAGAGGAGGTTCTGTGAGACCTGGGTTTCACATGCAAAGGACAGAAGCACAAAAGCAAGTGTGTGGTAAAGGAAGTGGATGGGGACATGGTAAATCGTGCAGGCTCTCCTCTCAGGCAGCCTGGGCCCAAACCTGGTCCTGTACCCGATACTAGTTGTGTGACCTAGGTGAGCTGTCTGACTTCCTGTGTTTCAGTTTCCTCAGATACAGAACTGAAATAATATTAGTAGCCACTACACGGGATCCCAGTGCAGGTTAATCAAGTTAAACAAGTACAGTGCTTAAAGTAATCGGAAGGTATTAAGTACGGCAATGCTAGTGAGACTGCCATGGTGGTTGCCATCATTGGCTGCAGGTGGCTTGGTGCAGCCTAGAGTGTGGGAGTCACCAGGAGGAACAGAAGTAGGTGATGAGATCATCCTGTGACGGGCCTTAGACACCTGCCTTGGAGTCTCTGGACTTTGTTCTGTAGGCAATATGGAGCCCCTGAGGGTACCTACAGGTATGTTCCAAATGGTGTACCTTCAGGTGGCCGCCCACACGGCCTGCTGGCTGCACAACCCAAAGGACACCCTCCAGCAGCCTGTGGCCTCCTCAGTCCTCCTTTTCTACTCCTGATCTACATTTGTTATCCCAGCGCCAGAGCTGAGTCTTCTCTCCCACGATTACTGTGCCCATCACTCCTGTTTTCTAATCCTACCTGTGAGCCGCAGCCCTTGCCAGCAATCCAGAACTGGGCACAGGGAGCCCCACAAAAGGACAGTCAGCTAAGGTAGGTCCCTTTCAGGGCCTCAGTCTCAGGAAGTAGGAGAGACCTCTCCCAGCTCCGAGCTGGAACCAGGCCTTGCCTGAGCTCCCTTGGGGACAGCCCTCTTCCAGTGCTCAGGGCCTCCCACTGCTGCCTGCCCAGACAGGGCCTTGTGTGTCCTGCCTGGCTGCCCTCTGTTGCCCCGACTCTTTGACCCCTCAATTGGCCTCCCTTATGTCTCATTTCACTTTTCGGGCTACTCTGAAAAGTAAATCTACTCCAACAAGTTAACAGGATTCTTCCTCTGGTGACTAAAACCCATCTGTATTTTAGCAGGGCCTTCTGCAGACCAGGCACACAAGTAGGGTTGCCTGATAAAATACAGTCTATCCGGTTAAATCTGATAAATTTTTTAGTGTAAGTATAACCCATGCAGTAAGTGGAGCATAATTACACTTTAAAAACTATTTGTTGCTTCTCTAAAATTCAAATGTAACTAGGTAGCTTCTATTTTATTTGCTAAATCTAGCAGCCCTGCCCTTAACAAGGCCCTTGGGAACCTGGTCCGGTCTCTGCCAAACAGTACCTCGGGCCACACACTTCTTACCTGCTCCCCCTATACCACTCCTCAACTGCCCTGTCTTTCCTTATCTGTGCTTCTGCAGCTGCCCAGCATGACATTTCACTCAGTCTTCATGGCCAGCCTAAAGCCACCTCCCCTGTCCCTGACCACCGATGACCCCTGTACTCCCCTGTGCTCTATGCAGAATCCTATGTTGGTACTTAACTCACTGGAGCCACCTCACATCTGGCTGGGACAAACGCTTCCTGAGGGCCAACTCCATCTTATGTATCCGGGAGCCCCAGCAGCCAGCCTAGAACTTGGCACAAATTTCAGAACAAGAAAGTAATGGCTACTATTAAGGCTTTATCATGTGCCAGGCACTGGGCTAAAAGCTGTGCAGCCAGCAGCTCATTTTATCCTCACAACAGCCTATTTTAAAGAGGAAGAAACTGAGGCTTGGAGGGGTTAAGCACCTTGCCTAGGGTCATGCAGCTCTTCAGTGGCAGGGATATGAAGCCAGGCAGCCTGACTCCAAGGTCTGTCTCTGTGATTCTCTCCTACCAAATCAATGGAGAAATTTATAATGGACGATTTCAGCCCAAAGGTGCAATTGCAGCAGAACTTCAAGAGGCTGCTTGGGAAGCCAATCAAGTATGTTTCTGGAGTTTCCCACCCACCCTCCCACATCCCAAAATACAACCAAGACAGCTACTGGTTGTGCCTAAGCCCTCCCAAAGGAAGGGAAAAAGATATATGTCATGTGCAATATGCAGCGGGGTCAGGAAAGAGAACACCCTCCAACCAGACGAGAGTTAAGAACCACAGCTCATGGCAGTGGAAGGCATTTACGAACAACTGTATTAAGGGGCATTAAGTGTTCGGAGGGAAGGAAGGCATTTCTGAGGGTTGGGGAGAAGGCAGAGAGGTTTTAGGGAGCAGGGAGGATGGGAGTGAGATGTGGAGTGACAGGGAGGATCTGAAAGGCAGAGAGAGAGCAGGAGTTTAGCAGAGAGGCAGTGAACAGAGCCTGTCCCAAGGTGTTCCCAGAGTCAAATGGGAACCCCAGGGCCAGACAGGTGATGAAAATGAGGAGGGAGTCTAAGAAAGCATGTGAAAACTGCACTTAGCTAGAGACCCCTGACCTAGCAAAGGGCCCAGCTACCAAACCCCAATTCCAGGTGATTTCTGCCCAAGAGTGACTTCGCTTCAGGCTGCAGAGCCTCAGATTTTTTTTTTTTTTTTTTTTAAGAAATCAGCAAGTTTCAATTTTTACTTTCCTAACTTCTAAAAGTTTAGAGGAAAAAAACCTGTCACATTTTTGCAGCCTCTGCTCTAGGGAAAAATGATCCAGTTGGATAAGTGGCTGGGGGAGCCTGGGCAAGGCCTGAATGGTGGGCAATGCTGGGTGGTCATAGGAGTTTAAGAAAGGAAGTCTCTCAAGAAAGAGGTGGTTTGGGTGACTCAAAGGTCAAGGGCAGAGAACTGGTAGGAGATGAGCAGAGGAGAAAGAAGACTGATAACCCTGGAGGGAGACAACTCAACCTCCTTGCTGAGTCAAGCGGTAACAGGACAGCCCAGTGGACGCTTTGCAACCACCAACATCACAATCTCCTGGGGATGAGGCCCAGGAATCTGAAAACAGAAGTTGTCGCAGGTGATTCTTATCACCAGGAAAAGGTGGGGACACTCAGGTTTAGATGTTAAGCAATGTTGTCCTGGAAGGGCTGGCAGAAGGAAAGGAACGACATCTGAAAAATATCCTTG